GTTTGATCAGCGGTAGGTTGTTTGACTTAAGCATTTGGTCTATGCGGTCCCATTTCGGTTGAGGGATTGATAGTTGGTGGTTATGCAAAGTATAACCCAGTAGTTCTGTACACTTGAGTTGCGATTTGGTATGATTGATTTGAAAGTGGCAGTTGTTGAGGTATTTGATAGCCTGTTCGTATCGGTATTTGAGTTGTCGTTGGTCGGTGGCGGAGATGAATATATCATCTTGGTAGTAGCGTATCTCGCTGGCGAACGGCAGATGGCTGAGTATCTTCCCCATGACGTGGTGGAAGTGTCGTGGTGCGTTAGTAGCGCCCATCGGCATGGTTGTATAGGCATAGTACTTGCCGTCTAGTTCGAATGCGTACGCTCCGATCTGGTCTTGCGCCAGTGGTATCGAGTGAAAGGCTTTGGTCAGGTCTATCTTAGCCAGGTATGGTTGCTGCGCGGCCCATGCGACGATTGGCCAACAACTCTGTACGTTGGGGAATCGGCCGTCAGTGGTAATGAAAGGTAGTAGTGGTCTGCAGTCGTGGGTCACGCGTTCATTCACTATCCTAACTGGTAGTGTGAAGTTCGGTCGTTGGTTAAGCTGTTTGAGTTTGCCTTGTGTCAGTAGGTTGTCGATCCATTGTCGGTAGATCATCACTTGTTTCGCAGTGGATGGTTGTCTTCCATGGTATGTCGGTAGATCTTTGACGTTCAGCCTTTCGCTGAACGTGGGTATTGTAGATTGCCTTACGCAATCAAGGCCCCTTTTTCCTTGATCTGTCTTAGTCGGTAGTGGTGACTGGTGGCACAGCGTTCTTCGGTGAGAGCGCCGTCCAACTCCCTAGTTGCCGCGTCCGCGTCCACGGCCTCTGCCGCGACCACGTCCGCGTGTGGGAGCTGGTCCTATCCTTGCTGTTGCGCCGTTTTGAAATAAGGCCATGCCTCGTGCAATGCCTGATCTAGCCACTAAGGCGTAAAGGTTGGCTACTTCTTTCGTAGTTAGTATGAGGTGTTGGTTGGTCATGCACCAAGCAAGGCGATCTGTAAACTCGTCATATGTGCCGGATTGTTTAAGAGCCTCGTAGATGTGGGATCTTAGTTGGATTCGTAGATTAATCTTCGCGGCATGGTCAGAAGTGGCGGCGATGGCGGCAGCAATGTCAGAAATTATAACTTGGTAATTGGCACCGACTAGAGTCATCTTAGTAGTCTTTAAAAATTATAGTCGACTTTTAACTTTGTTCAGTTGCGCAGTTTGGAAAAAGATGATGATATTTTTGTCTGATGGTCTTTAAGTGGGGAGACGGCGTCTCTTCAGATCAGTCTCCGTTGTCTGTGTTGGTTCTGTAGTGCTCGTCGTCTCCGAAATAATCGGTCTTTTTCTGGTATTCTCTGGTATTTCCGTTAGATCTAGATCAGATCTAGATCTTAGATCTGGTTGTGTGCGATCTGGATTTGATGGTTGTGGTCGAGTTAGTGTGCGGTTCTGATTTGGTGTGCGATCGTAGTGTAGTGGTGTCCGGAAGTGTGCGGAAATTTTTGCGTTAAATCGTGCGTTGCGTTTTGGTTGGTCTTGTGATTTGTGGTTTCGTCTTGACGGAATATCGGCAGGGTTAAGTTTCCCTTGCACATAATGGAAGGATAATTTGCTCGTCTTGATTGTCTGCATCAGTACCTTAATCTTGCGTGCGTAAAACATGGTTTCGGTATCCGGGTTTATTTTTATTGGCGAAGCCAAGGACTTAGCAAGTAGTGCATTATCGGT